TCGCCGCTGCCCTCTGATACTGATAGTCTGGCGTGACAGAGCAGCGCACTATTAATTCTGTCTTCATCTTGGATTACAGCTGTGAAGGCCAGGAGGGGTCAAGTGACAGATGAGGACAGCCAGAAGTGTGAGAGGGTGTTGTAATCGGATAATTAGCAAAGAACCACAACATTCCTTTAAACAGTTAATAATATTCTCTACAGCAGAGCTAATAAATCTGCAGCTATCTACAGCTAACACAGCAGCACACTGTCGCTTTGACTTGGATGTAATTAAGAAAAGACATTTAATAATAATCCATCCATCATCTCTACACCTTCATCCTCACGAGGGTGGTGGGGGGCTGAGTCTATCCCAGCTGACTCAGGGTGAAGGCAGGTTCACCTGGACAGGTAACCAGTCTATCCCAGGGCTACGCTTAGAGACAGACAACCAAGCACACTCACATTCACACCTACGGACAATTTACAATCACCAATTAACCTCAGCATGTTTGTGGACTGTGGGAGGAAGCCGGAGAACCCGGAGAGAACCCACGCTGCACGGGGAGAACATGGAGACTCCACGCAGAAAGATCCCGGGTGTCCTCACCGAACCGGCGACCTTCTAGCTGTGAGGCCACGATGCTAACCACCGAGACACCTGCAGCACGTGATGCTGAAAATAAAAACACAAAATACGGGTCAGCGCCTACAACAACATACAGCGTTACACCCTTCACGCCCTCCAGCTCAGATAGCAACGCCTTACTGGAGAAATACTGACGAAAAACTCATCAAACCGCCCACATCCGAGCTGTCTCTGCTCTATGATTTATGAAACCTTGCAGAACTTTGAGTTGCTTCTAAACTGCTGGGTTGTGATTCAAGTCGTGGATTAGCGACCCTCGGCTCCCTTCGGGCCTGCCGTGTGAAGCCTGTTTGTGTTTCTTGTGTTATCTATTAGTCATTGTTGTACCTGATCAGCAATTTTTGTATTGTGTTTGCATATTGCACAATTTATTAAACTATGCAATCTGTGTTGCTTGGCAGTGCCGGTAGACACAAATATGTACCTGGTAGCAGGAAATGTCCTGCTCAGTGTTCGATGAAGTACAAAAGAAACTGTTCTGCAGCTGAACGGTTGCTGTCGTGATTTCCAGCCAGTCCAGGAAGTCTCTGATTGTGTTTATGTTGAAGATGACCGTCAGTGAAATGACGCAATCTTTTTCATCTGAAACTCAGCTTCTGTCGACATTTTTGGACTAAAAAGTCATCAGGCATCAAAATGCATGAAGAAGAACCTAAACCTCTCCTTTCATTGTGATTTACTTTAACCACGTCACTTTACACTTTACTGATGTTGCCTAAGACGTAAACAGAAGTCACTCAGTCAGAATCCCTCCAATGTACAGAAATCCTCCTCGCTATAGAAACAGCCGGCCTCACTCATCATGTACGCAGGATTAAGGGATTGTTCTGCACTCTTTACCTGTAGTGCCTCGCCTTCATGACTAAGCTGAGAATGTTTCTGTAGGATGGTTGCTCACTTATCTTTTGCTTCAGGACCCTTTCATGTCTAAGTTATCGATGACATTTCTGCCCTTTGAGTCATCCCTGGCTGTGTTTCCTTCCGAGTGATTGCTTATCTTTAGACGGAAATAGAGCTCTTTAATCAGGCACTCCCTCGGAGGAGTCTGAAAACGGAGATTTTCCTTCCCTTCCCATTTCCGTTTTTTGTCCTTATTCCTCCTTTTAGTCTTTGTTCCTGAAATGAAGAGTGGTGCGGTCCAGCTACATCAGAGGCTGTGTGGAGGGACGGCATCCTGCAGGCTGAACAGAGTGCCGACAGGGTCGCTCTAAGTAAATACACAGTCCTGTATGTTGTGGTTTACTATTTTTAAAAAATGGTTGTAGGGCTTTTCTGCTCTGATGTGCGTTACTCTCAACTGTCTCATTTACTGGACCCTCCTGTGTTCTTGTTTTTATTTATGGTTCCTGTTACTGAGCACTGGTGACATCACACTTGTGCATCAAAATATGAAAGTTAAACATTTATTTATACCAGGGATCTCCAGCTCCAGTCCTGCTGAGCTACTGTCCTGCAGGTTCACATGTTTCCACACCTGCCTCAAACTAATGGATCTCCAACAGCTTGTCAAGTTCTACACAAGTCTGTTAGTGATCCATTAGTGTGAGTCAGGTGTGTTGCAGTAACGTCTAAAACCTGCTGGACAGTAGCTCACAAGGACCGGAGCTGGAGATCCCTGGTATATAGTATCACTAACAACTTCATTTCTATTTTTTTGTTCCAAACCACAAGATTGCAAAGTGCTTTCAGAATGAGGCATGTCTGGAATATGGTTTGTGCACCGTTTGTATTTTATGTTGGTGTTGTAACTACCTGGAAACCCAACAGCACAACAAGTCATTTTCTTAGACATATCCGTTTCCCTCCAGAACTCCACTGTGACTTCTGTCAGAAGCACCAACAGCAGCGCAGACATGGACATGAACAGCCTACTTTTCCTGTTTTTACACTTATTTTTGACACTGTCAGCAAACAGCAGCTGACAGTTACAACAGGTAGACACACGTCTGCGTAGCGTCATCCGTCTGGTCTTCACACAGGTGTGCACTCAGGTCCTAAAATATGGCACAATTTGTTTTAAGGTGAATTGATACTAGATGAACTTAATCTGGTTGTCAGCCATAAAAGCACCAAGTTCAGGAAGTTCCAATCCTACCTGGAACGCTGAAAGCTCTAAAACCTGCATGTAAAAATGGAGAAGCTTTCCATTTTCCTGAACGCCGTCTTGGCAGCACCTGACGAATCTTAACTCCCAGATAATCCAAAAATGAGCAAAGAGGTGGAGCATTAGTGGAGCTGAGGGAGGCCAGGCAAACGTCTCCGGTCGGGTCATGGACTGTCTGTGGCAGCACCGCCTGGCACTCAAAGCAGTCGCACTGGATTCAACCACAGACTTTGCTATTAGTTGACACTTGAACAAAAGCCACTCAGCACAAATGTAAGCCTCGACCCTTTCAACACTCAGTAACTTTGGCTTGAATTACTAGAAATATATGCCTGTATGCCAGGGTCCTCGCCAGGATACCTCTACAGGTACCGGAGGGGAAGGGTCGTCGTCCCGGGGGGGGTCTGAGCGAATGCTGCTAACGGGTAGCGGCTAATAAGCTAGCAAATAGCAGCATTAGCAGTGAAGACGACGGTAGTGAAACTCCATCGGCGCCTGTTGCTAAATATTTTTCCAATTCGTACCCTCGAAAACAACGTAACGGCCCAATTTACAGCGTAATTTTTTTCAGACAGCAGCGTAGCGGGTCATTACTCTGTTATGACACTGGAGAGAACCCTGTATGCAATTATTATTATTATTGTTATTATTTTTATTATTGTTATCATTATTATTACTATTATTACTAGTATTATTATTATTGGCATAATTTATTTCATGACTGAATGGCGTGTTCACATACGGGGATTCCCGCTGATAAACAGTCAAAATGAATGTAACATAAAGTCGCCATGTACAGGAGCTGCTGTACCGGTATAGCGGGCTGTAGTGTTGAAAGCCTGAATACAACTCAGTGGTGCGTTATCTAAAAATTTAGTCCATGTGCAATTCCCATGATTCGCTATAGAGACCAAAACAGTTTTTTGAACCAGGCTGTAAACATGTTTACTTCTGCTGTGAAGCGTGACATTTATTATGAGTGTTTATGGGAGCTGACCCACTCTCAGAGCCAGCCCCAAGTGGCCATTGAAGGAACTGCAGTTTGTGCCACTTCAGTCGGCTTCATTTTACCTCCCTGAGGCTGCTTCTGGGGTAAAACTCAGCAGCAACAGACAAATCATAAAACAGAGGCCAGAGAAACATCTTTTTAGGTAGATTGTTCCAGAGCCGAAGTCTGGTACCAGCCACAAGCCTGAGGAGCTCATCTACAGAATCCTGGGAACCATCCTAACAGCAGGCAGATGGATCGCTGCATAAGCAACACAGAAAGCCTGTTTATTCAGTCTCATGTGTTAAACAAACCTCTCAGCCTGCAAAAGTATTTCTTGTGGATTTCACAATAAACTTCTGGGAAACTGTGCTTGAAGCTTCCTGTTGGCTGCTGAGAAAGGTCCTGGTGAAAGCACTGTGTGTCACAACGGGGCGTTTGTGTGTATTGCAAGAAAATGTCTCAGGAAACGTGTGTGTTTTTATGAGACACACACAATAAAGGCAATAAAAGTGAGCGAGGGTGGTGGGGAGCGCCGCTGGAGCCGAAGCTCCCACGTGGACTCGAGGATGTGTTCGGGCTTGTTCCCATCCACTCTGTTAATGATCTGCAGGAAGTGGAAGCACGACTCCGACCCTCTGCGGCGCTGCTCTCCTGGACTCTCAGCCACAGGCGCTTCTCAGCCCTGAAGCCTTGGCATTGCTGTTTAGACACACATCATATTTTCAGTCATTATTGTGTCAGACAGTGTGCACTTAAACTCACTTCTCTTTTCACTGCAAGCTCGCACGAACTCACATCATCAAAAACATCATCATTTGCATATGACATGCCTCGGCTTTGTGTGCTTCTGGTGGAGCCACCGTCCTGCAGGGGAAGAGGAAGCATGAGAGAGCGTCCGTTGGTGTGCAGTAGAAGCATCCAGATCGGTTACTGGGTTAATGTTGATGTAACGCTCTGGTACTGTTGCTGAGAAACAAGATGTTTTTTTCATCATCACAGCCCGGTCTGACACATGGCCTCACACAAATGTGGCTTTTCCTGCTTTGGAAACAGCGCTGAAGAGAATTCCCTGTTTGACAAGCTTACAGCTGGTTTTATTGTCTGTCTCCAACCGGAAGAGAAACGTGTCATATCTTATAATAAATGGTGACAGGAAGTCTTAATAGCTTTGCATCTGTGTTTTTAGCCGATTCTGCAGGAAAAACCCACACTGACATCATATCTTCACCCATCAGTGTTTTCAAGCTTCGTCTTTCTGTCTGTCCTTTATTCCAGTGTTGTGTCGCCCAGGATGTCTTCAAAGCCTCACAGCTCCAACAACATCGCCCATGCCCGGCGGACGGTGCAGCAGCTGAGAATAGAGGCGAGCATTGAGAGGATAAAGGTACAGTGCAACAATAGACCAGCCACTTTCCACGAATCTTCATTGTCTGCATCGGTCTTTGTTCTCCTCAATCCACCTTATTATCTCCTCTGTGCTCTGTTTCTCCTCTAGCAGCAGCAGCAGCAGCCAGCGCTCCAGTTTTCGTCTCTATATAGGCCAGCGTCCAATTATCTCATGCCCGTTTATGCAATGTGAATGCGTTAAATTGCTCTAAATGCCTCGTGTTAAATGCTAATGGAGAATCCTTGCATCTGTTTGGTGCAAACATGTGATTAATTGGACGATAAGTTAGTTGAGATTCATTCAGACAAGTTTGTCATTAAGTGCAGAGGTTTACAGATTGACCAGTGCAATAAAGAACAGCACCAACAAAGGCCCATCTAATGCTGTCAAGTTTTTTTCTTTCCTTGTAGATGTTTCATGCTTCAAACAATCTGCAAACTTACACAAACTCATTAAACGCTGCTCCCCAGCTGCCTTAAACGCCTCATTTGTAATGCTTCAAAAATAACTTTATGAACCTGTAAATGTGCATAGTATGGAGACTTTAAGACGCTCTGCAGCATGTAGCGACTGATCGCCACTGTTTCTGTCCTAACCTGTAACTCGGAGCGCAGACAGAACTAACTCGACATACTTTGAGTGATTCCACTGTGAGAAACACCTGCTGATTGTCTGCTGCTCCACTTCTCAGGTGCTTCATAAAAGCAGGTCATATTTACCGTCGGATCGACTTATTGTTTGTGCAAAGGATGAGTAACAACACATAAAGTCTCTAAATCCCTCCCCACCCTGTGTCTTTGTTTTCCACCTTGTCTGCAGGTATCCAAGGCCTCTGCAGACATCATGAACTACTGCACCGAACACGCCAGGAACGATCCTCTGCTCATGGGCATCCCTGCTTCAGACAATCCCTTCAAGGACAAAAAGCCCTGCACTATATTGTAGTGGATGCCACTTAGCCTTTACGTGTTTGTTTTTTGGCTTATTAATGTTGCTGTACTCTTTTTGTTGGGAGGAGTAGAGGGCTGGACTGTGACCGTACTATTACCATGTGTTCACCTGTTAACAACCCAACCGTGATTTTCTCAAAAGCAGCCGTTTTTATCGAGCAGAGAAACGCTGTGCGGCGCCCGTTAGCCTGATTACTCACTGAAACTATTGACCTGAGCTGCTCCACTCGAGCTCTGACCACTAACAAAACTTGAATTGTGATGACATCGGGTACGTAGCGTTGCTTGAACATCTAAAGCGTGTGGAGCTCCTTGCTGATGGATTCGCTTCGTCCTCTGTGCACGGCCTTGTCTCCAGCAGGCAACGACTGTTATTTTCTCTCTGGTTTGCCTTAAATGGATGCATAGAGCCGAAGTTCCCTCCTGTCCTTTACAAGTAAATCAGTTTTAGGTGAACAACAAACCAATCCCTACAGTATTCTGTGCAGATCACTAAATTCAGGATTCAGTATTGACCCTGAGCTTCCTCTCAGATGCTACCGTGACGTGTTGTTGGTAGAGGCCTGGTGTTAAATCAGCGGCTCTTACTGCTCCTCGACAATCTGCCTCCCTTTTAATCGACTGTTTTCCTGTCGCAGTGTTGTCTTCGGCTGATTTATCGAACCGTCGTGTCGAGATAAACTTCACACCTTTAGTCATCTTTGCTCAGATTCAGATTTCCAAAGCTTTTGGAAAGTCAGCTGTCCATGTCAGATAAAAACGCTTCGTCACGGCGCTCGCAGGGCAGGTTTTTATTCAACTGTTGACATTGGATGCACAACTACACTGTGTCAGGAGAACTTTGGGACCAAGCCAGACCCACAGCACTGCATTATGAAGCATCTCAATGTCGTCTGAATAGGACCGTTTTAGCCATTCCTTCTGTAAAACGTCTGTGGTACGTCTTTCTTTCTTTTTTGAGGACGCTGATGTCAGCACTGTGAGCCACGCCCACTCGCTCATCACAACAGGTGTCTTAGTCAAGTGAACGTGCGCGTCTTTGTCTTTTTAAGTGTTGTAGGCACGTGTGTGTGCATTGATGATAAAACCACTCCTTTGTTTGTGTCGGTGGGGGGGGGGCTTCAGTCGAACATGTCCTGCATGTTGTGATTCGCTGGGGGGGGGAAATATCCGCTGTGGTAAATTTAACAAAAAGAACAGAATAGATAGAATAAATTAAATCTTTCTTCACTCTAAAGCCTTACTTATGTTTGCCTTGTATCATGAAGAAAACTCTTGATGGGAGTACTCTCTTTAAAAACAAGAAGATGCTGTTTGTATGAACCGTTTTTATCTGCTGGTTTGTAACGTGCCATCTGTTTCTGTGTCACTAGCAAAACAACTCGTGTTTCACTCACTGGTGCTTTTTCTGCAGTTTCTGTATCGTTGCCTTCTCCAAAGGGTACTTTCAGGTCTTCAAATCATCAAGTGTTAATATTAATTTGTATTTTTTATGACTGTCTCCAGCAGTCAGTTCTTCTTACTTGCAATAAATCCATCCTGTACGCCTCCTACAGAAACATCCAGATCACCACTGCCATGATCTCTGTCCACTCACAGCAACTCTGTAACAGCCTTATTGTACCGTCGATGGATTAATTTAACTGTCAAAATCTGCATTTTGATAAATGTCTTTATTAATATACCAACATTTGTATGAAGACTTAACTAAGATTAATAAAGTGAAGCATTCCTACAGTACCACACTGTACTTACGTCTCAGTAAAACTGTGTTGTGTTGCCGCCGCCGGTCCTGAGATCCATCCAGCAGAGAAACCTGATGTCAGTCTGTTGTTCTCACGGTTGTTTCTGGAGCCGTTTCCTCTCATTAGTCGTGGAGACGACGGTCATCGGGCTTCTCACCAGGGCTGCCAGAAACACAGAACACAGGAGCTAAATATAGAAAGCACCAAACCCTGATTTCCGCTCTGGGAGAGTGAAGTGACTATTTTGGGAAGCTGTCTTTTTAGAGTCTGTTTTCCTTCTCCGCCAGTGGCCACTCGGGCCTCTTCGACCTTGTTTCTGGCCAGCTGCTGGATTCACAGCCTGCTCTATATGTTCTGCTGTGCACAATGGGAAGATCACACATTATCACCTATTGTAAAAAAAAGACCTGCAGAAACGTGGATGTGACAGTTCTCACACATAAAAAAACAGGTAGTGGTGAAATAACAATGCCACCTATTATTTATTGTTGTCCAACATCTAAATGGACTGAACTGTCCTCCTGGCGTTTTCTCACGGATCGGGATCTCCCCTGAAAGGTCTGCAGGAAAAAGGGGTTCATTGACTACTAAAAATAAGGAGACAGGTCATAAAGCTTCCAGCACAGAGATGTTCCTGCACAAATATGTCTGTATAAGCGCCCCTGCAGCACAGCCTCTGCAGTAATCCCGGCCTGTCATTGTGCAGCAGTGCTGGAATCAGAGGGGGGCGTAGGGCCAGCGGCTGGCGGGCCGGCGCCCTCGCCATGCGCCCCACCGTGAAGCTCTGTCCTGGCAGTTACAGTGTCAGTGTGTTGGAATGTGCTGATGTGGGGGAGAGGAAGGGGAGGGCGGGGATGCATGGCGGAGGGTGTGGACTGCAGCTCTGCTCCTCTGCTCGGCCCAGCTGCATGTTTATCTCACTGTTGCCAACTCTGCTGTAGTTTTCCAGCCTCGTAGTGGATGTTAGCGACAGCGGGATATTTATAATAAGTCGTGCTGGAAAGTTCAGTTTGAGGTATTGTACTGTTCTTTTGATCCAGCTGCAGCCCGACAATGTGATTAGATTATGAATCATGATGCATTACAGATCGAAGGTCATGCACGCCCATAATTCAACCTGCACAGGTGGTTTCAGGTACGCTGATCAGATACATTCAATTCGATTTAGCTTTATTTAAACAACAACAGTTCACAACATTAGTTACCTCAGATGTATTCATCCCCGTCCATTAAAGAAAAGACAAAACTCACAACAGTCACTGAAATAACTAGAAACTGGAAAAAGTAATAATAAATAAAAATGTGCTAAATTATAATTTAGTGGAAAAAGATGTTTCTTTCGAATTGTGGTTGAAAAGAATAATTTAAAAAAATAAAAAAACAAAACTGTCCTGGACCAATGAGAGGCCTTTCCTGATGAGCAGTGGTCCAGAATACCTGTCAACAGGTGCACAAGTCTGACTGAGAGTTACAGGAAACACCTGATGGCAGTGATTGGCTCAGAGGGTTGTTCAGCTAGATAGTAGTTCACGGGTCCCATCAGGCTGGTTTGGTTTTTTATTAATATTTCTGTTGAACCACGATTCAAAAGCAACGTCATGACGTTCATTAAATTTTTATTTATTATTACTTTTGTCAGTTTCAGCTTATTTCAGTGACTGCAGCTGTTTTTTCTTCAATGGGAGGGTATGAGTACATCTGAGGATGACTTCACATCACATCTTTATCATATTTTATTATTGTGAGAAACCCCCAAAAACATCAGCGGCAGAAGGTAAGTAAAACTCTGGCAGAACTGGGCTCAGCGAGGTCGTCTGCCTCCAATGGTCAGGGTTAAGATGAGGCAAAAAAGTTATTTTTTCGAAAGCTCTGCTGGAACCTGCATGAGCTCATCGTGTAATATTATAAAGCTGCTGCTTGTTCTACAGTATAACTCAGAGCAATGATGGTTTCAGGTGCTCCACAGTTTAACAGCAACAATAATACAGCATGCATGTCTGTGGACTGTGGAGGAAGCCAGAGCAGGGAGAGGACATTCTGAAGGCTGGTCCACATGGTGCTGTTGACCTGATGATGATGGATTTAATAATTCCTCTGCTTTCATTGATATAAATTGTGAGGATGCAAAAATTAGGAACACCTCTCAGAATGACGCAGCCTGACAACTAAAAACGGTCCATCCATCCATCATCTCTACACCTTAATCCTTGCCAGGTTCATGGGGGGCTGGAGTCTATCCCAGCTGACTCAGGGTGAAGGCAGGTTCACCTGGACAGGTAACCAGTCTATCACAGGGCTACACTTAGAGACAGACAACCAAGCACACTCACATTCACACCTACGGACAATTTAGAATCACCAATTAACCTCAGCATGTTTGTGGACTGTGGGAGGAAGCCGGAGAACCCGGAGAGAACCCACGCTGCACGGGGAGAACATGGAGACTCCACGCAGAAAGATCCCGGGTGTCCTCACCGGGACGCCAACCGGCGACCTTCTAGCTGTGAGGCCATGGTGCTAACCACTGATCCACCGTACAGCCCCTAAAAATGGTCATGCAGTAGAATAACTCTCTGAAACAGGTTCAGACTGCAGTAGGTAAGAAGGTGCAGATTTCATGGTTGGTTTTCTGTCTATTTGGCAACAGCATTGTCTTCAGATGTTTGCCTTCTCGTCTCCAATCTGAGCAGCTCCCTGTTTTCTGTATGTTCTCAGACTAAAGCACAATGACTGAGGATAATACATTATACTGCTGACTCAGATTATACAACACGCTCCCCAGGTTGCACCATATATAACAATTCAAAGTGCAGCGTGCCTTATCGGATCAGCCTCTATTTTAGAAACACCACACACGAACTGTGACCCGGTCAGCAGGTATCCATGACGATATGCAGGGCTTTTTTTAAACCACAGTTTAAAAAAAAAAAAAAAAAGTGTCTTTACAACGTTTGCATCAGAGCTCGACTGCTCCACTCTTAAAATAACCTTTTCCCTTCTGTCATAACAATGCCACATTACATCAGTCGGCGTCACGCCCTGCAGTCACACGCCAGCCAACCTTTCACACAGTGCCAACTGAAACCACCAGGCCCCCGAGAAGCTTTTCTAGGGCACAGGGGCATTCTGGTTCAGGTGCCGTTTATGGGCTGCTTCAAGTGCGATCAAATGATTCTCACGTCATGCCAGGATGTATCAGGCTTTCTTTGAAATGTGGAATGCACGACATGCTTTGATATTAATGACTTCATTAGTGCTTCCTGCTGTTAGAGCGGCACGCTGACCTCAGAGCAGATCTACTCCATGTTTAATGTACTACAGCGGCTATAGTAGCTCCAGTCTGAGGGCATTTAGTTTGCCTGTAAGTCCTTTAATTGTTATTCATGTCTGCAGTGAGGGCTTCTGGGTAATGCAGTTTTTGTCCTGGACTGTGAAAGGAGCACCTTCAGAAAACCAATAAACATATACATTACAGTAACACAACACCACGATGGCATCACTGGAGTGAAGCTAAAAATGAGCACAGCTGCAGGAAAAACACCGGGTCTGTTGAATCACTCTGCTGCTCATGTGATCTGCCAGATTGTATAAAGCACCCAGTTTATTAATATTAAAAACGGTCACATGGTCTCCCCTCACATGAAATGCTGGAGCTGGATTGTGCAACTCAAGGACAGCCTCCTGCCCTCTCTCTTCCCGTGATCATGACTCTGCAATTTCAGAGGGGAATGCCCGCCTTACAGCCACTGACATCATCGACATCCAACTCCAGAGAGATCACCTGCATCTGTGTGTGTGTGTGTGTGTGTGTGTTTGGAAAAGGAAATCAGCGGGGGAGTGAGGGAGCAGCTCAAACCGGCTTGCTCACCAAAACCTCTTTTTACAAAACTTTCCAAGTATTTCCAGCTCTGTGCTCTCTGGTGAACTTTGCCACGTTATGCAGCCAGCAGCACAGATACCACGAAAACACCTGATGTAACCTCGCTGCCTGAGCGGTAATGCACTCTGTTAGAAATACTGGAGAGTATTGCAATGTACGACACACGCTGCAGGTGGTCCGTCCTCGGTGCAGCCTGTGTGCAGATGCCACATGCCTTTTCTAGGAAGTCAGCTGGCGAACATTGCAAACCGTCCAACAGATCGCAGAGAATCGGTGAAAAGAGAAGCCGTGTGGATGAATGAGCATGGTCCTGCTGACCGAGGCAGAAGCCCGAGCAGAGAGAGCGGCGAGGATTATTGTTCTCTTCAGCTCAGAGATGGCACTGAGGCCACAGAGGCCAACATGACCCCTGTGATCCGCACGTGACTCCTCTTTTACAGCCGCTAAAGGTCAGAATCCAGCTCGGCTTCGCTCGGATTTCCAGAAATGAAAGAAACAAAAAGAAAAACACACATAGTTCTTGTTCCAAAAAATACTTTTTATTGACAGCAATACATATGTGTCTCATATTCAGGTGTCGCAAATAGTTATGGTAAAAAAATGAAACATAAATACACTTAAATATAATTAGAAATAACTTAAATTGTAACAAAGGAACTATTTCATTTGTGGCAAAAAACCAGCTGGTTTAAGAAACACTAAACACACAGAATGTCTTCACTGGATGTGTAGCCCTTCCCTTTTTCAATTATGACAACAGCAACGTTAACGCTAACAACTTTAATCAAATAAGTGAAATTGCAATAGGTCCAGTGTTTCAACAAGTGCTTTGTTTCTGCAGAGAGAGAGGCCGAGGCCTTGGTCCGCTCAACAGCTCCGTGTTCTGGTCTTGCCCCACTTTCCTGACTCGTCGCAGAGGCTTCGCCAAACAAACACATGATATAATCCTTCTGTACAGTGTCCAGCTCCACATGAAAAAGCACACACGCTTTTTGGTATTTCCACCTCGTGACGACACAAGAGCCTCGCCGTCTCATCTTGGTTGCAAAGGCTGACAGACGCAACTCCAAACAGTCCGGTCCAAAGCGGAAATCAGACCCCCTGCTTTTTTTTCTCTTTTAAATTCATCCCTTGCAGACAGGCAGGGACTTTTTTTTCCACCAAATTTTCCTTTCCCCATCAGCAGTGCTTTGGAATTTGATCTCTGGGTGGTCATACGTGTCCATCAGGGTTCACACCACTCTTCCTGCGCAGATAAAATTCCTCTCTGGACAGGATTTCTGCAGCTTAAAGTTCATCGTTCGGGCAGGTTGATGATGGGCACCCACTGGTCCATACAGCGGCTCTCTCTGCAGAATCGGTTCAGCTTGCTCAGAGCGGGGTCCTTCCATGATGTCGAATGTGGGCTCTGGAAATAATCATAAAAAAGAGAATGCATTGTTGAAACCTATCGTTGCAGGGTTACAGACAGGCGCTGTGTGTTTGTGTCTGCAGATGCACGGTATTTCCCTGCACTGAAATTCCTCAGAAGTGGTATGAGGGAGGAGTCACATGCATGTTTACCAAATGCTCAAGAACAAGTACTAACAGGTTCTCTACTGACTAAGAGTTTCGCTCATCTTTCAACATCTTGGATGAAAGTCACAACAAATCCAGACCCACGTTGCACCAACAGTACTTACAGTGACCAGGACGCAGTGCACGTCCAGAGGCTCGCCCCCACTCTGCTTCCCACCGCTGCCTCCTCCTGCGCCGCCCAGGATCTCTGCCAGGCGCCTGGTGTTGTTCACTCTCAGGATGTTGATGTCATTCTCACAGCAGAACGCCTGGATGAGGGTGAAGTGGATCTGCAGGGCCACATCTTTGACGTCTTCATCATCGGTGGCCAGGATGCACAAAACCACATTATCAGGGTCTCTGTGGGAGGAGATCACAAATAGATGGCATTAGTTTGTTCGTGTGCAGCCTGTGTGTGGCTTCCTGTTGGACAGGAGGAGCTGTAATAATGTGTTATGGCTGCTGTGACACTGTGAGACGTCTCCAGCAGCCTCCAGCCAGTCAGCAGCAGATGAACTTACACGTTGAGGGACTTGGCAGCCTCGTAGACTCCCGCTGTGATGCAGCCCTGTGGCAAGGCAGAGGTCAGGACTTCTTCCAAAGCTTTCGCCACGGTATCCATTCTGCAACACACGGGAGTTGATGTTAACGTCGCTGCAACTACAAACTTTCCCGTTAGCCGGACTCTTAGCTGCTAGCGAACCCGGCGTAGTTCCGAGACTGATGTGCACAAGTTAGTTTCGCCACATTAACAGACGTTTCTCGTCAGTACAGCGGTTGAAGTCGCTTTTTCCTAATGTAGAAAGGTTAAACTTCAGCCTGTCGTGTCGTATTTTCGGGTTTCCTTCGCTGTGAACCGGCTCCGTGCAGCTGTTAGCTAACGACCAGCGGAGCGTCTCGCGACCGGCTGAACAGCTAACCCGACCAAACTTCAGATTCTGACCTCTGCAGCCGCAAACTGGACTCCAGCATCAAATAAATCCTTCTCACTGTGCAGTAATTAAAGTAGTGCATGCTGCAAACATCATCAGACACGATGCCGAAGCGCTAAACACGCATTAACGTCGTATTAATAATCCGCATATTTACCTTTCCTGAGAATAATCTCCACTTAGTTCCTCAAATGTCATGGTGTACATAAAATCCAAAATCCAGCTCAGAACAAAGGGTACGGAACCGGCCACTTGTTCCTCGTATCTTCTCGACTTCACACACTTGTTATCTGTAGTCCACTGAGCTGCAACTGAGAGATAAATCTGGCAGCTTCACATTAAAGCGCTCCGGGACAATGCGTACATTTGCATAGCCGCCGATCATTGGTGCTATGCTAATGGACCGCGCAGCTCTCGGACCGGATTGGACGGACGCACGACGACGAGGCGTGTCCGTCTCCGGCCCGGTTACTACCGGGACTGCAGCTGTCTGCCGGCCTCCCAACATGTGGATAAAAATAAGAACCCGTCCAGCAGGCGGGCTGCAGCACCAGCTAGCCGAGCTAACAGAACCAGTGCACGGCTGGAACTTTAGTAAAAACACGTTTGCACACAAAACAACAACCAGCTGAGTTAAGTGGAGCCACGTCTCCTCTAAATTAAAAAAACAACCTACAACAAACGAGTTTTAACGCAGTAACGGAGCAGCAAGCAGCAGCAGAACTCACCCTGGCTGCCGGACCGGACCGGGAAGTCTCCAGGACAACCGCATAGCAACGGGACGTCTCCAAGGAGGAAGCCGCGCTCTGATTGGTCCGCTGCGAAGCGTGCGAAAACCTACCGAAACCGCGCGCGAGATCCAAAGGACTGGCGCGAGAGAGGACGGTTACCGCGGCGCACCTGCAGCATGAGCAGCGGTGCCGGTAGAAAGTAGGTCAGGATCCCTCCCAGCAGAACAAGCGGCTCCGTCCCGACTCATGTTTACTCAGAATTAAAGTCATTATACTTTGCACGTTTCATAGCTGCTGGATCAGGAGGAACCTGCTGATTATGTCTGCAGCAGGAGGATTCAGCCTCAGAGTGAACATCAGGAGGATTCAGCCTCAGAGTGAACATCAGGGACACAGAATCACAGAGTAAAATAAATGCATAACAACTTAAACCTCTAAAAACTCACCTCTGTGTTTCCAAGCTGCACATTTAGAAGGTTTTCCATGAAATTAGTCGTTTCCTGCCTTAAAATATCTTCGATCAAACTCCTCACTGTTCCTTTTTCTACATCTATGAAGTCCCTGCCTCTCCTCATATCCACTCTATCACTGCAGCTTAAGCACACAGGCTCACCTGCTCCTGCTAAACACTAAAACTCCTGCATGCTGCACAGTGGAGTAATTCAGCCATATGCGTTCAAACCGATTCTAAAGAGTCCGATTGGTTCCTTTGGTTTCTGGTGTTTGAAACCCTGGAAGTCTGAATCTGTATTTTGGCAGCTGTCAGTAGTGTGAAGGTGAAAATGCTCAGCCATGTGATGGACGTCTGCCAACATACAGAGAGCATCATGTGGAGATGTTAACAGGTAAAAGAAAAACTTGATTGTCACTGAAGTCTTTAAACCCCCCCCAAAAAAAAACAACCAAAAAAAAAACAGAATATGGTGTAAAATATCCACATGAAACATCTAAAGCAGTAGGTGCCTGTATGTGCCAACACAGGCAGCAACAATAACACCAAAATAGTCACAGAGGAGTAAGAAGACAGCGAGCTGACTCACATTTTTCAATGCAAAAACTCCAGCTGATGGAATGAAAATGAAGAGTTTTGTGACAGTAGTAAGAGCAGCCAACCAGTTCTGGGGACATCAGGGTTGTACCATTCTGAGCTTCAAGCACATCATTTTTTATCTTCATGCACCAAGTTGTTCCTTTTCTGCATCAGTTCAACGTGGAAACGTCTTTATTTGTGTAAAGTAGAGCACAATATGCAGCCGCCAGGTGATGATTCAAAATATAACAGAGTATAAAGCAAAACGGTGCTCAGGTATTCTGTTTTAAATATCTGTTCAACTGTAGATCAGCTTTTATCATGTAATAATATCTCTGCTGAGTCAACACACACACATATATATAATTCACGATTCCTTCTTTGGTCCTCTTTGTTTCTTTTGTTTGAAGAAATAACCTCCTTATTCAGACCAAATTTAAATGTGTTCATTCACATTAATTCTTATGATCTCCTGGACTTGAACAGACACACATATGTATGTTTGGGTAACACAGCGTGATATATATTGCTTTTATTCAGGAGGACAAATGTGCGTCCTCCAGATACTGGGCTGATGTGTCTCCTGCACCCCCCTCTAAATCTGCCCCTCAGTCTGTGCACACCTTTGCTTCGACTCTGCAGCATCTCGACCACTCACTTCTGTACAAACACGGTCAGACGCCTGTCCGAGGTGTGTGCATACCACAGTATCCTGGTTTCCAGCATACCCAGGTTTCTCCAGACCGGAACAAGGCCCATCCAGGTTTGTGAAACACAAAACCAGCATATCCTGCTACTACACGTGTACTAATGCTCTCACTGACACTGTTGTACCTTCACAGGGGTTCAAACAACAGCGCTGAAGTTTTAAAAGTGGAAAGTTACATCTGGACAATGACATGGAAATCTCACAGAGAGGAAGCCATGCTGTGGACGTTATGGGATGTTATGCTGCCCCCTGGTGGCTGCAGCCTCAAACACAGCAAACCATTGTTCAGAGAATCGTACAAGAGAGAAATCCCATCTAATCTGAATTTACATCTTCTGTTTGTGTGGAATATTTGCAGTTTGAGCCACCAGACTCTCAAACAAACTGTCTGAAGTTAAGAGGCTCAGTGTGATCCTTCATGTCATGTCTGAAAACTAATGTCACGTTAAACATATTAACAACATTAACCTGAAGATATGATCCCTGCAGTGTACATTTTACAGACTCATGTTTTTAAACTTAAATTTTATCAGATATTTGCAATAAAAGTTTGTTCCATCTGTTCCAGGACTGTCCAGTAGGAGGCAGCACCAGCACACATCACACACATGCATCACATCTCTCAAACTTACTCCACTCTGAAGTCTTTTACTGATTATCTATTTATTGTGTGCTGCTTAACCCACATTCAGTCTCTGATACTGCCCATGATGGCAGAGCTGTTGGATTTGATTTAATTAGTTGTGTATTTTTCCAGTGGGCTGCAGGTGTCTCGGTGGTTAGCACCGTGGCCTCACAGCTAGAAGATTGCCGGTTTGCGTCCCGGTGAGGACACCCGGGATCTTTCTGCGTGGAGTCTCCATGTTCTCCCCGTGCAGCGTGGGTTCTCTCCGGGTTCTCCGGCTTCCTCCCACAGTCCACAAACATGCTGAGGTTAATTGGTGATTGTAAATTGTCCGTAGATGTGAATGTGAGTGTGCTTGGTTGTCTGTCTCTAAGTGTGGCCCTGTGATAGACTGGTTACCTGTCCAGGTGAACCTGCCTTCACCTCTGGATGGTGTTGCATCACAGCCTCCTATCAACGTTCGGTATGTGTTTACATACAGTATGTATATTATACCAAACCCTTTGCATTTGTCGTTTGCCTACTTAATATATGAGCATGCACAGGATAAGGCAAGTGACAGCAGCCATCCATGGCAAGTTAGTTCCTTAAGAATGACAGAACATTTCCTCAGAAAATGACAAACCACCACAGTGAGGACGGATTCTGTTAGCATGAATACATGCGGACGTGTAAAGTATTGAACATTTTAAAGACTTGATCCTCAGTGTTAAATTGAAACTGTTAAATTTTTTAACTTAAATAGAAGCAAATACTATTTAAATTAAAAGTAATGCAGTTACATGAGGGTGACACAAACTGTAATCATTTGACATTGAAGTATATATAAGAGCCACTCAGTCATATAGATTACTGTCATTGATTCCAGCACATGAAGTTCTTCTGGGTCATCATGTCTCAGATGGGACACAGCAGCATAGAAATAAGTAGAGCCGGATGTACACAAATACAACTTAAGACTTACAGTAGAGACTCTGGTGTTATACTAATGAACAATGCGTGATGGACCACACTGCCCATGCGCTCCGTTCCGTTTGGACATTACTGGAAGTTGGAGCGGTCGCTTTGTCGTGCGTCCCTTCGAGTCACGTGACCATCAGCATGCTTTGGTCTTCCCTTGAATCAGACGTATATTACTGTAGAATAACCCACGGTTTATTTGCGTAACGACCCACCAGTTATCTGTGGTCCCTCCTCGCCACGCCCTGACTTTTACGCACCGGGTCTGCAATCCACGCAAACATCATCTGAGGACCGGTGCGCAGACAGGATTGTGGATTCAGTGTTCATATTCGGTGCTTTTTAAACACACATTAACTTTTTTTCCCCAGTAGTCGTGCACAGTTGGCTTTACCACATGTAGAGTTTAGTTCTTCTCGGATTGCACCTGTGGATCACCGGATCTGACTGAAGCTGTTCAAGGAGAGTCCAGGTAAGTTTATTTCAACACATTATTAGCTGGATTTGCTCCACATGGCTGTTATCCAGCTATTATATTTATAAATGCAGCAGGGAGGGAGATGATTTTTATTTTGGCAGTGTGAGGATGGGTTCAGTCAGTGTGGTCTTCAGTAATAACAGCTCTGGGGATGCTGGGCAGGGGGAGATAAGGACAGAGTGGAGAAGAGAGGGGTCAGATAAGGACAGAAATGTCTTTATTGCTCCAAAAAGTTTGGATTTCATAAATAGTAATAACTGTTGAGAATACTTAACACTCATATAGATTTATTTAATTATCAATGGCAACAATAATATTGAAGACTGAAATATTCCAGATATTTATTGTGTAATTCTTTTAAAATTCTGATGTAATTTTGTCCTCTGAATCTTGGTTGTAATGATTTTATTGTTTAACTGAATTCTCAGTTTTTAATTTGTTTTGTGTCTGATGTGGTGCAGCACTTTGGTCAAAGTTTTGTTATGTTTAAATGTATTTTATAAATAAACTGATCAGACTTAAAGAGAATCAGTTCATATAAAAAGGTACTGGTTCCGACTGGTACTTTATTAGGGTTAGGGTTAGAGATTTAGGGTTATGGTTATGGGAGGAACATCTGGGTATTATAGAGGAAAGGAGAAATAAAGGATGCTGTGACTATTGTGGAAGTGCTTCACCTCCAGCTGTAGCTCTTAATATAAATATCACTATGACATAATGTGTTTCAGACAAAGGGAGACACTTTTTTTTATTTTCAGCTTTTTCATGGCAGTTATATAAACTTGCTGCTTGGATTTGGTTTGAAATTGGTGTGATGTGTGATGGTATGCCTTGGTTTCATTGAACTGTATGATGGGCCACACTGTGGTGCCGTGTTGAGCACCATCACCTCACAGCAAGTATAGTTCTGGGTTTGAACCTGCGTGTTGCCTGGTGTTTTTCTTTGTAGAGTTGGTTTGTTGTCCCTTTGTCTCTGTTGGCTTTCTCCAGGTGAGCCAGTTTCCTCCCACAGTCCAAACGCAGACACGGTGGGTTAATGGGTGATTCTAAACAGGCAGGTGTGAGTGTGTCTCTTGGCGCGAAGCCCTGATTACACTCAGCTGAGCACATGGGTAGCGTGTTCGTATTCTGCATGTACCGGCCTTGCTGCGTTTTTCAGTCACCAGCTGTCTGCAGCAACACAAGTTTTGAGCTGCACGTGGTCATCTGCCAAGGATGCAGAGCCTCTCACACAGCTAGCACGTGTTAAATCCGCTAAATGATTTCCTTTTAAAATTAAACATTTACACAGTTTTACAGTCAAGCAACCGAACAGCCTGTTAGCCAGTTTTTTCCTGCTTGCTATCGCACACGGTCCGATCTCTCTGTCATCTACTGCACATTTTTTTTCAATGTGCTCAGATTCCAGGCTGGAAAAAAATGCTGGAGCTGCTAGGTGGATCAGTGGTTAGCACTGTGGCCTCACAGCTAGAAAGTCCCCGGTTGGCGTCCCGGTGAGGACACCCGGGATCTTTCTGCGTGGAGTCTCCATGTTCTCCCCGTGCAGCGTGGGTTCTCTCCGGGTTCTCCGGCTTCCTCCCACAGTCCAGAAACATGCTGAGGTTACTTGGTGATTGTAAATTGTCCGTAGGTGTGAATGTGAGTGTGTTTGGTTGTCTGTCTCTAAGTGTAGCCCTGTGATAGACTGGTGACCTGTCCAGGTGAACCTGCCTTCACCCTAAGTCAGCTGGGATAGACTCCAGCCCCCCACCACCCTAGTGAGGATCAAGCAGAGCATCCTCCTCTTCTTCCCTAGCCATACGTTTGGGGCTTTTAGTAGCTTGGGGCTTATGGCAATTAAAAACCTTTTCCTGAGTGTATCAAGACGGCACCTAGTTCTCAAAAAATACATCATTATATCCTCCCTTTTCCCTAAAATACTGTGTAGGTACCAGTACTTACTAAAATACTGTAGAGTTTGTTGTTTCTCTTCCATAACACCCAGTTGTTGCTCCCTTGTTGTACCAACACTGAAGTGGAACCAATAACTTTTTATATGAAGTGAATCTTGTGATGAAATTGTGCTGCAAGTAAAGGAATTAGATGGAAATCACGTTATAAAGGACCAGCTTTGTGTACAGTTACAAAGCATTTCTCCTCCTTCGCTCTTCTCCACAGCGTAATGGAGCCTTCAGCTGATCCAGAGAAGAAGCTGCTGAACAATGGCAAGATCACAAATTATCCGGCATCCAAGTACAACGAGAGGGGCCAGTGGGACAACAAGAGGGAGTTCATTTTAACAGTAGTTGGACAAATCATCGGTCTGGGCAACGTCTGGAGGTTTCCATATCTGTGCTTCAAGAATGGAGGAGGTAAAAGTCTCACTGTCCAGCTTAAGGTTTCTTTAGAATCTGTGTCTTCGTGCTGTAGATTAAATGCTTAATATTTCTGTTTGAAGTCGTCTAACTTTGACTCATTGCTTTGCTGACCATCAGGAGTTTTCTTGGTCCCCTACGTTCTGATCCTGCTCTCCTGTGGAATCCCCATCTTCTTCCTGGAGCTGTCTGTGGGACAGTTAACTGGTCAGGGTGGAGTCACCTGCTGGAGGAAAATATGCCCTTTATTTGAAGGTACAGCCAGATCCTCTGATGATAATGCATTGTGGTATCACTCAGCTTGTTTTGGTGCTGTTTGTTAAATCTGCTGATGTTTTGTCGATAGGTTTAGGCTATGGCAATCTAATGATTATGTTTTACACTTCGATGTACTACATCGTCATTCTGGCTTGGGCCTTCCTCTACTTCTTCTCCTCCTTCCACACGGTGCTGCCCTGGGCCAGCTGCAACAACACCTGGAACACAGGTACACGTCTGCTTTGTGTCAGCGGCTTAATATCAGGTGGACAAATCTTTGTACTGGACCAAAACTCTAACACTTTTCTAACTTGTCAACCTTTATTCTTCCACTGCAAGAGGACTGCATTGACTATGGCCAGAATGATTCGTTTTACAGCGCCGTCAATCCAAATGCGACATCTTCAGTTAAAGAGTTCTGGCAGTAAGTTTTCACAACGGCAAAGTTATGTTAGAGTCTTCTCGTAGATTAATCGTAGCAGCTGGACTTGCTTGAGTTCCTTGAAGACCTCTCATCCAAGAGGCTTCATCAGCTCTGACTGACTAGTAGGGAGTTCCAGATGCTGATATTCTTTAGGAGCCACAAACAGTTAACTCACAGTTAATGGCTCCTAAAGAATATCAGTATCTGGATCAGTCTACTAGTCAAATGTCTTCAAGGAACTCAAGCAAGTCCAGCTGCTACAATTAAACTGTGAGAACAACCATGACCTGCAGGACTGAGAATCTTCACAGACTTCTTTTAGAGCCACAATAATGTACATTGACAGTTTTCTTTCTCTGAACACAGGAGGAGAGTTCTGGGTTTGTCTGGAGGTCTCGAGGAGATGGGTGACATGCGCTGGGACCTGGCTGGCTGTCTCCTACTAGGATGGATTATCTGTTACTTCTGTATCTGGAATGGAGTCAAGACGTCCGGAAAGGTGAGTTGAGGGGTTCAGTGCCAACACGGGCCAGACCACAACAAATCCAAAGTTGAGTTTTTGGGGTTTTATTGATAAGTGTTTCTGGTCGACTAGTTCATGGCAAAGTGGTCCAACCAGCAGCCCACTAGTGATGGCACAATGCGACTTTAAAGTTTGGCCTATAATGGTTTTGGCTTGGAACTTTAGTGGCAAACTGGGCCAAGCCACAGAAATTGCTGACTGTTATATCGCAGGTAGTTGCACGTGATTCAAGATGGCGGACAGCGTGACCCCAAGCTCTGTGAAAACTCAACTCATAGGTGCGATAAGGTAAAATAAAAACATAATGAACCACCACCATTCATCTATTTCTACCCCACGGTCCTCAAAGGATGACCCAAGTAAACTCTTCAGTGCTGTTTAGCAACACAAACCTGGAATCAGTTCTTTTCTCAAAAAGTAGAAAATGTGCTACGGCCCACTTTGGCACTCAGCAAAAAGAAAGGCAAAAATAAAACTTAAATAAGTCGTCACAGAGCAGCTGTTTCTATCTCTGGACAGTGTTCAAACATCTCTGGATGCATATAATGACTTCTCCAACAACCAAGATTGTTTTTGCAACACAAAGTTTTGACCCTATTTTTCTCTAGAACTAGTGAATGTGGTTTGGCCCGCTTTGGTTCTAACTCATGTCTGCATATCCTGCACACAGAGGCGAAGCTGCAAAAACCTTCATTTATATGTTCTTTGCTACACTTTTTTTGCATGTGGAAAATAGAGCTGGAGTGAAAATGTGAGTATAAACTGACTACCTGTTTCTCAGGTGGTCTACTTTACAGCCACGTTCCCCTACGTGATGCTGATCGTGTTGCTGATCCGAGGTGTGACGTTGCCAGGAGCTGCAGATGGAATTCAGTTTTACCTTTCCCCTGATCCAACACGTCTAGCTGATCCTCAGGTGAACTTTATGTGTAACTGGCATGCTGTACAAGGACACGGGCGTCAGCATACTGTCTGTCTGAACGCTTTAAGAAATGTACTAGACAGAAAAGCACATTTTAGAATAGTGAAATTTCATTTGTGATAATAAAAGAAACTGTAATGAGCGTGTCTTGCAGAGTCGGACTTCATCAGACTTTTCAAAGGGCACTGTGTAGGCTTTAGTCACATGTAGCTGCAGTGACTAAAAAGTGAGTCAGTCGTCATAGACCCTCATTCTGAAAAGCCCAACTTTCCTGTACAAATAAACATGTTTGCAGCCTGGTATGAAAAAAAAGAAAAAGAAATTGGTCTCTATGGGGGCTGCACGGTGTCTCGGTGGTTAGCACTGTTGCCTCACAGCTAGAAGGTCGCCAGTTGGCGTCCCGGTGAGGACACCCGGGATCTTTCTGCGTGGAGTCTCCATGTTCTCCAGGATAAAATGGTGTATAGATGATGGATGGATGTTTAAATGGACATAACAACTTCGACTCATTCTACTGTTCTAAGGTGTGGATGGATGCTGGGAGCCAGATATTGTTCTCCTATGCCGTCTGCTCAGGCTGTCTGCCAGCTATGGGAAGTTATAATAAATACAGCAACAACTGCTACAAGTAAGAGAAACACACATCATCCTGTGTTGTGCTTGTGCCTGTTCATGTGATGGAGAATGCAGAACATAATCATCTTTTCTTTAAATTCAGAGACGCCTTTGCCTTGTGCACACTGAACAGTTTGACCAGCTTCTTCGCCGGCTTTGCGGTCTTCTCCGTCCTCGGCTTCATGTCGTACGAGCTGGGCGTCGACATCTCCACAGTGGCCGAATCAGGTACGCAGGGGTTTTTACATTTCGTTGCATATTTTCTCACTTTTGATTCTATGACAAACACCAACTAATAACTCTATGCCAACATGTTTGTGTGTGTACACAACTGATCGCAGCTTTTTCACAGTTAAATACACTGTCAGCCAAATGTTGTGTATAAAAACTGAAGACACAGTGTGCAAGTGGAGCTCAAAGACAACAAAACCAGGCGATGGTTATAGTTCAATACATGAAGCAACACATGGTTTCTGATGGAGTCAGAGACAGGATGTGGGTAGAACTGGTTTCTGAGGATACATGTGTCCCATCAGTGCATGGTTAATGTCATGAAATTAGAACACATCATAACTTGTGTGAACACGCTTTAACCTCTGCCGTCCAACCCTTCAGGTCCCGGCCTCGCCTTCATCGCGTACCCTCGAGCCGTCGCCTTGATGCCTTTACCACAGCTCTGGGCTGCCTTCTTTTTTGTCATGGTCGTCTTTCTTGGCCTGGACAGTCAGGTAAATGTGCTTTTGACAAGATAAAGACTTTCATAACACTTTACTGTAAGCTTCTTGATTCTTGTACGTTACATTATTTTCCACATAAAAAATTCACTTTTCTTTTCTCCACTTCTGTTTGGTTTTAGTGGTTCTGTCACTTCATAGCACATCAACAGCATTCTGTCAGTGCTGCTCAGTTATTTTGTAGTTTGTGGTAGAAGCCAATAACATAACGCCAGTAAAGCCAATAACGGTTGATAACATAGTAAATTTGCACTTTTTTAAATGCAATAGGTCAGTAACTTAATAAGTTATGTTATTGGCCTGGTAAAAAAAAAATCTTTGCAAATGTAATAACCAGCCAATAACGTAATAAGTTACTACGTTAAGTTATTATTTATTATGTGAAAAGTTATTGCGTTATCTGTTCAGGACTTTTATTACGTTATTGGCTTCTTACATGATGCCTTGTTGGTGATGATATTATCCAAAACTAGCGATGTTTCAGTCCTGATCGTAAGTTTTAAGTTGGACCCAACTACAATAATTTGTAATTGATTCCTAGCATTAGGCAGCTAGGCTGAAATACTTATTTAAAGCTGTTGTCACAAAGGTAAAAGAATCAGTCACACAAATGGCTGTATCATAGGCTACTGGGGACTAAGGATGTTATCCCAACTGAACCCTATTTGAACTCTTATTTTGAAGGATTTCTGCAGAAGTTCCTGCTGGGAAAGTGGAGCTCATCAAACTAATTAATTCCTGTAAGGTTTTATATTTTTATTCGTTAATGACAGCAGTAGAAGTTAAGACATGGAAAGAGTTTTTCAGCAGCTTTTCATTCATTACGCTGCCACGCTGGTTCATCTCAAGCAGGACTAAACGTGCTTTCATCACAAATGACACGTCTGTGGATTATGCTAGAAAAATCTTTCATCCGTTGTTTGGCTGCTATAACGCTGCGTCACGTCTTCCTTCCACACCAAAGCTGAGTTTCCTCTGATCCTTGAGGCACCTGGTTGTCCTGTGACACCTGGTGAGATCAGAGGACCGTCGGTTTGTCGCTCACCCACTCATTTAACTGTCTTGCTTTATTTTTATCTCTGTCTTGGATTTCCCACCCTTGTTGGAGGTCATTAAGCGTCACATAAGACTTCATCACGGTGCTCACTTACTCGCTAAACTCCCACAATGCCCTCTGCCAGCTGGCTAATTAACGCCTTGTAAAGCTCGATTAGTGCATGTAGACGATGTGAACAGCTCCTGTTCTTACCCACAGTTTGTGTATCTGGAAGGCCTGGTTACGTCCGTATCAGACATGTACCCGGCGTTCTTCTTCACCGGCCACCGACGTAAAGTCCTCCTGCTTATCATCTGTCTGGTCTGCTTTGTTACTGGCCTGTTTATGGTCACTGAGGTGAGAGTTCGTCTGCTTAAGCCAAGTAAAATGTATTTCTCAGTAAATAATATCTTAAATTGGTCCGTACCCTCTACAGGAGTATGTTCTTTAATCTGTTTTTTCCCCGTCATGTGCCACAGGGGGGACTTTATGTGTTTCTGCTGTTCGACTACTACGCTTGCAGTGGAATGCCCATCATGTTTTTTGGCATTCTGGAGACTGTTTGTGTGGGATGGATGTTTGGTGAGCAAAACAAACCCATTTATTTATGTGTGGATTCAATAATGTGGATGTAAAGTTATTAAAGAGGGCACCACTAACATATTCTAAAACACCAGTGTCCCTTTAAATGATGGGAGAGAACGTTTAAGGTATACTGTAATTTCAACAAGTTGTGCTGCTGACAATAACATGGTGCTTTGGTATTTAAAGAGGGATTATTCTATTTCTCATCAGTGCTGATTCATTAGAGTCTATGAAGGTCGGTGAGGCTAACACGACTGTCTGTCTCCAAGGTGCTGATCGTTATTACGGCAAAGTAAAGGAAATGATTGGCTACCGCCCCTCCCCTTACATGAAGTACTGTTGGAGGTTCCTGACACCGTCTGTCTGCGTTGTAAGTACATTTATGGTGCGTTGTTGTGTCTGCAAACTGTAAAACTCAAGAGATGTGAAGGCCAGTTCATGCTCATGTCAGAGAGAGGCTCGCCATCCTATACACCTTTATAATTCATCATTGTGACTGACGTAGATGATGCCAGATTTTAGAGGTGCTGTGATTTGTTCATGTTGTCCAAACACAGTAGGATGTTCTCCAGAAACCCGGTGCTGTATCTGCCCACAGTGCTGGGAGCAAGAGGGCAACTAATCATTGATCGTGCAGCCCAATCTGTAAAAAGTGCAGCATCACAGAAAGTCTTTACTGTACAAATGGAGCAGAGTGGACATTTACGGAGATATCGGGACCATGACATAGGACAAGAAGAAGAAGATGATATATATTACGTTCATTTGATGTTCTCTCTGTGTCTCTTCTTCTTTGAACAGGGAATACTGCTTTTCTCTCTCCTCAAGTTCACCCCTCTGAGATACAACAACACCTACGTCTACCCCTGGTGGGGCTATGCCATCGGGATATTTCTTGCATTATCTTCAGTTCTTCTGACTCCTCTGTATTTCCTCTACCGTATGGCCGTAACCCCAGGAACGATGAGGCAGGTATGTACGGCCACAAAGACTTTCTGCCACAGATAATGAAGTGAATGAAGTACTCAGCTCTTGCAGGTAAAGGTCAAGTCAGAGCGACGGTGAGCAAAGCCTGCATGTGAACAAACCAAAACCACAAATTTAATCCAACCTGGTAGTCTATTGGGCTGCGAGGTGG